CTTTATATAGTCACAACTTTTTATAATCACCAAAATTTTGTATCCCAACCTGGTGATTATATCGAGGTCTGACTGTAGCTGATTTTGATCATAAAGAAAATGCCTATAACAGATACCAAGCTCATTTAATTTTCCATTATATTGCTCAGTGGTATTATGATCGATTTGCCAAGTACTCTTAAGTTGTGCAAGAGGTTGGTTAGCATCAATTCCATTGCAACAGTGTATTTTGTAATTATCATTGTCATTATCTATAATGACACAAGGTGTGTATTTATTATCTTTATTTTTGGGAATATTTGGTATAATTTCATCAAATCCTTCATCTAACTCATCATATAATATAATTTCTTCTATTTCACTATTAAGGTCATAGTCTTTATTATCATCACCATCTAGTTGTAATATTTTATCCTTAATATTTTGATATGTATCGTTATCGAAGTTTAGAATAAAAAAGTTTTTGATTTTATCTACAGATTTACTATTAGAATCGTTATAATCAATGTTTTCCATCATTATAACTGCGAAGTTTTATGAATTTAAATAATTGTATTTTTTATTTAAAAAAATTTAATTACAATAAAAAATTTTAATATGTGAGAAAAGACTTATTTATATTTATTGCTTAATTATTTATTGATAGAAAATATATTTTTTGCTTTAAATATCTAATAATATTATATGCACAAATTGTTTAATATAAATCCCAAATTTTTAATAAGAAAAGTGCGATAAAAAGCTTTTGATACATCTAAAAAAACTTCCTATTTACACGTTCTCAGAAAAAGTTTATTACATAAATCTGCTTATCATTTAGAAAATTCTCCTTTTCAGCATATTATTTCCAACCTGTAAATAATTCACTATACCTTCTTTCCTACTATTGGTGCATCTATTAAATATTAGAAAATCTATTTATTACAAGTTGATAAAACACAATTCATCTCAACACGCTATTCTAACCTGTAAATAATTCACCATACCTTCTTTCTCACATCTAGAATCACATCGTTTCTTCAATAATACGCCCCTTGAGAAATATTTATTAAATATTAGAAATCAATATTTATTACAAGTTGATAAAACACAAATTCATCTTATCATTAAGAAAATTCCTTTTTTCAGTACGTTATTCTAACTTGTAAATTCACTACACCCTTCTTCCCGCTATTGGTGAATCTGGAATCGTATCATCGTCTCAATAGCATGTCCCTTGAGAATATTTATGATTATGCTACCAAATTAGAAAATCAATAATTGTCCTATGAGGTGCTAAAAAGGGTATAGCGTGAATCTATCAATCATATTTCACAAAGATTTCTTCGGTTAGTATGATTCTAAGGAACAATAATAACACTTTTCAATTTTACCAATATGAGTTTTCTCTGAATTATTATTCTTAACTAAATGGATATTATAGCATGGTGTAAACAAATTATATTAGTATGACCCAAAACAGAAAATATCTTTTTAATTAAACCCAATTTCTTAAAACTTATCTGGA